AGCTTTGAATCATCTGAATAAGCTTTAAAAACTTTAGTTCCACATTTTTTTAGTCCTACAATGCAGTACAACCACTTGGACAAGAATGAATATTTTGTAATCTTCTATACATTAGACATTGAAATGTTGGAATAGCATTATTGAATATGTGCCACTAGAACGCTTCAACCTATGGATTAACCTTTATTCTTACAGTACGAGAAAGAGATTTGGCCCCTTCAGATTTAATTTTCCATGACGAAGAATTTCCATTCTTCAACTCATAATCCCAAATAAATGATTCATATTTGTCAAGAAGAATTTTTATAAGAAGCAAAGCATAATTCATTACAAAATTCCATGCCAACTTAGCTCTCTTAAAGGCCCCAATTCGCTTACACATGAATGAAGCCCATGACCTCCAAAATTTTTTGATTTACAAAGAGCATCCCAAGCTACATTGTGAAGCCTATTCCTACCTTTTGCTTATGCCAAATGAAATTTTTTCTCATCTTATTTAAATCATTAAAAACTCCCCTTAGAACTAGGGAATGAGTAGGAAAAAGAATTTGAAGCAAAGGAATTATAAATTTAAGAAGAATAAATCTGCCAGAGAGGGAAATGAATTATTCCCCCAAGCTTTACATTTCCTAAAACTTTATCTAATATGTTTTGCAAATTAGAGGCCACAAGCCTTCTCAAAGAGTTCTTAACACCCAAATAATTCATATCTTTAGTTGGTTTAAAACCCATAATGTGAGAAATCCTTTCTTTCTTCCCCCTTTTAACTGATTTACTAAAAAGAATAGAGGATTTTTTTAAATTCATTTTTTCCTGACTAATTAAAAAATCTTTCATAACTCTATTTATTTCCTTAAACCAATTTATATTTTCTTTAGAAATAATTAGAATATCATATGTGTATAATAAATAAGATTATAATATAAATAGAGTCACCTATTTGAATAAAAGCTTTTGATAAATGTTAAGAGCTTAAAATAAATAAGAACAGGAGCAGTGAGAGCCTTGTCTAAATCCACTTCTTTCTTTTATCTAGTTGGAAGAATTACCATAACCAAAATAGAGAATATGGGATCTTCAACACTTTGCATAATAAGCCTTAAAAAATTAGAAGGAAAGCAAAAATAATCCAAAATTTACTTTAATGTTGACCACCCCATACTGTCAAATGCCTATTCCATATCAATTTTGAAGGAAATTAAACCTTCCCAAGATTTAGAAGATCTAAATTTATGAAACACTACTTATGATTTTAGAACATGCTCTGATAATGAACAACCTTTCTGAATGTCTGATAAGGATGTTAATCCTAACTTAGGTTATCCCTATGAATATAAAGCATAATAGTGTTAGTTACCCTTTTTCATCCAAAACAAAATTTTCATTTAAGCTAATAATGCATTTTGTAGAAAAAATTTATATTGCAAACCCCATGTCAAACAATTGACTAATGCTCATTTGGTTATACTTTTGGCCATCAACTAATAAAACATTTTTAAAATAAAATTTATTGAATTTCCAATTATACATGAGCTAACCACTGTACTGGTGGTGTTGTCCCCTAATGTGACCTTGCCTCTAGGCCTAGATTCTTATGTGATGAACTGCTTTAAATCACCAGTCATGTGCCTCAAGCATCCATTGTCTAAGTATCACATGTTCTCACTAGGTCTTTTCTGAGAGCTTCCATACATAGTCCTTAAACATTAGATTTGGGAACCCAAGTGAGTTTAGTTTCCACCTTGTGCATTGATGAATGAGATGTTTTCATGCTATGATGTGATCCTACTAGTTTTGGCCTCCACATTAGATGTGCCCTAGAATGGATAGTATAAGTGCAGTGCATGTCTCCTCCTAGCATGCCATAATAATAACACCTAACACCAGTAAAAAGATTTACTAATCTATATGGGTTACGGTGCCTCTTTGTAGAGGTATGTGATGCATGTTGTGATGAGTTATGCCATTATGCTAGACTAGGTGATGGTTTTTGTTTTGAAGTGCATTTTTTCTCTTGTAGGAATTTATTTGTACTTTATAGAATGGATACTTTTATCTTTAATTCATGCTCACTATCATCAATCTTTGTTGCACATGCCTCTAAGTTTTTTCATGAGGTTTCTAATTCAACATGCTTTAATTTCAAGGAATCATATACAATATATAATTTAATATGCTTCTTATTTAATGCCAAAGTCATCAAGTAAAAATATGTGATTGCTAGCTAAGCTACATTAGTAATTTATTAGAAGAGTATGTTATTTTTTCAAAGTAAAAAAAATTAATTTTTATATTAATATACATATTTTGTAGTTTCCTATACGAATCATGAGTTTTCTTTGAAATTATAAATAGTTTATCATAGGAAAGTTTTCTTTATCTTGATCTAATTGATCAAGATTATTGTTTACCATAAGACACTTGTTGGTTACTATCTCCTCTACATCAGGTTCTGATGATTTTGAGGCAGACTCGGCCAAAAATTCCTTCTATTTCCTTTCTTCCCCATCCAAAATTTCCCCTTTTCTTCACCCTTTTCCTTGACTGGTGAGTCTTCAGGTTAGGGAAATCTTTTTAGAGATGTCCAAGTTTCCTGCATTCAAAACATATTATTTCATATGACACTTAGAAATTTATATTGCTTTTACCTTTTCTCTAATGTTGTTGATGACGCCTTTGTTTCCTCTTTAGAGAACTTTTGATCTGATGATGCATCAACAAATTGTTGTCATCCTTCTATGCTACAAATCTATCATTGTCTGAGTCATTTGCTTTTAGAGCTATAGTCTTTTCCTTCTTCTTATCACCTATATTATTTAGTCTTTTACTCACGCCTTGGTCGTATGCATTGAGTGACCCAAGAAAATTATCAATAGAGTATACCTTCAAATCCATTGATTTTTTTAAACCACGCTAGAGAGAGAAACAGCACGCTAGAGAGAGAAAAAAGCAGGTTTTTTCAAATTTTGATTTTGCTGTTTTTCCGCTAACCACATCGCCTGGAGTTGGAGATGATGGTGGAGGGCCGCCGACCATCGGTCTGTGGACTGAACACTTCAGGAGACTAGGATGGACTTTTGGGAATGAAGGAAGAACAGAGTCGGTTGCTTTCTAAATCGGATCAAGGTTCTTCCAGAAAGAGTGCATATCCTTTGGTAATCATAGAAGTTACAGATGGCCCGACTAAGAAGGTGATTAAATTTGTGGAAGGAAAAGGTAAAAGCATTTTAGTTAACTCTGATTGCAATTCTCCGATAATTGAGAAGAATCATTCAAGTTCTAAGCCAAATGACACTGAAGCTTCCTCCTCAGATTTTAAAATTTTTGTTAAAAAATTTTGATATTCAAATGCAATCTCTGACCCTTGGCCAGCGATAAATGCGAATACCCCCAATGAAGTTAACATAAATTCTAATTCTGTGGATAATCTACATTCGGTTCCTTGTTCTAATCCTCTTATCAATCCTTACTTGCAATCAGAAAATAGAAATTTTTCTTCCAATGACAATTCTACAAAGGGAGGCGATACAAGTCCGAAAACTTTTTCTGGAAATGCTTGGGTTAAACCTCATCATATTAAGATTAATTATAAGATGGATTCTACTCCGTTATCTAATGATGGAATTGCTGTTTTAATGGCTTCTATTTTAGAAAAATCTAATTCGCAAGTCTTAAGGAACTCTCTGGTAATCAAAGTATTGGGTAATAACATCCCATTCCCAGTTTGTAGTAGAGAACTGAGGAAACAATGGTCTAGATATGGTAATTTTCATCTTACAACTGTGGGGCTCGATTGGATTCTTTGTTCCTTCACCAAGGAGGAAGCAGTGGAAGAAATACTAGGAGGACCATGGTATAGAGGAGGCAATATAATTGGGTTGGACAAATGGTCACCCAACTTCTCCCCTGAAACTCTTAAAGGACATATAGCTCCTATTTGGATTCGTCTGCCTTGCCTTCCCTTACATTGCTGGGATGAGGAAAATATTTGTAGAATTGCTTCCAAAATTGGCTCCCCAATTTATCTGGATGGTAATTCTTTTAAATGGGGAAAAAGGGAGTACGTACGTGTCTGTGTTCGATTATATTTTGATGAAAAGATTCCTAAAGGAGTTTGGATAGAAGGGTTGCATGGAAGATCATTCCAAAAAGTTGAATATGAAAGAATCTCTTCTCTGTGCTACCATTTTGGTAAATTGGGGCATACAAAGAACCACTGTTCTTTACTTATCCAACCTTCTTCAGTAACAGCTCCTGAGGTTAGCAAGAAGATAGTAAATTCAGCATAAGAAATAGATAAAGAAGATGCTCAAGATGAATTGGGACCCTGGATTCAAGTCAAATTCAAAAAAAAAATAGGCAACCGGGTTCTTCTTTTTTAAAGCAGAAATAGGAAATTTTGAAGACAACAAATTTCAAGTAGAAAATTGTTAGGCAAGTCCATATGCCAATCCAAACTAATCTGGACAGTGAAGAGGGAGAAATCATTGAACCAATGCAGTTGCAGATTCCGGGTAACAAGACGGCAAACTCTAAGGTGGATAGTTTGATTCCAGATGTGATTATGAATAATAGTTTCAGTGCTTTAGAAGAAGAAGTTCTGGATCATTCGGAAGAAGGCTCTAAAGTCTTAAACAACTCTTCGGATATAGTTGCTTCTGAATCCTTATTAGAGCAAATTACAAAATGTTCTACTGCAGCAGTAGAGAAGATAGATATTAACATTGAAGATAAAATGCTAATATCAGGAGCATCATTGAAGCTGGTTGTATGGAAAAGACTAATTCTCATTCTGAAATTATCATGGGGATAGGTTGTTTGCGAACTCTTGTAAATCCGGAGGGATTACTTGCGAACTCAAACATACCCTTTCAAAAATCTGATTTCAAACTTCAAAAGGAGCTGAAATCCTTGGGAAAGGATAACATTATCTCTCATAGCAGGAAAGGAGGAGGATCTACTAAAGGTAAGAAAGGGAGCAATCCCATTTCTTATCAACCATGACTTCCATAATGTTTTGGAATTATAGGGGGGCAAGGAAGAAAGAGGCCTCCCACTATTTGAAGGAATGCATTAAAGATTTTGATTTGATCTTTGTTGGATTATCTGAAACTAAGATATCCATTTTTGATAGAAAAGACTGTGACAATTTTATAGGAAAGCTTTGGGATTTTTACTGTTATCCGGCTGAAGATATCTCAGGTGGACTAATGGTTTGTTGGAGAAAGGATCTTGCCACTTTTTCCATCTTGTTGTCTTCTCCTCAAACAATTATAGAAGAATTGTACATTGCTAACAAGGGAAAATGGATTATTGCTTCTGTATATGGTAATAATGATTTATACAAGAGGAAGAACCTTTGGAACACGCTTGAAGGCATTTCTAACCCAGTTTATCCAATAATCATTGGAGGGGATTTCAACTGCATTCTATCTCAGAAGGACAAACTAGGAGGGAAAAGATTCAAATACACTCAAGGAGTCCAAGACTTCAACAATTTTATTAGTTCATGTGATCTTCATGAACTAAAGTTTATTGGTCCTAGGTACACTTGGTGCAACAAAAAGACAGGGGGAGCTAGAATCATGGAAAGATTAGACAAATGCTTCTTGAATTCGGCTGCTTTGCTCTCTATTATAAATCTAGTGGTTAAACATCTTCCTAGAATAGCGTCTGATCTTTGCCCCATTCTTGTAAACTTGTTCAATCCAACTATTCGTAGAAAAAGGTTCATCAAGTATGAATAAGTTTGGTCCTCTTATGCCGCTTCTACAGGTATTGTTAAAAAATCTTGGAATAAAAATATGGTTGGTGATCATGCTTCGGATTTAAAAAAAAGTTTATGAGAGTTTTGAAAGCTCTTTACCACTGGAGTAAAAACAAACACCAAAACCTGTTTGAATTGAAGGAAAGGCTGAAAATAGATATCTCTGAACTGCAATTAGAAGAAGCAGATGGAGGGGGGCTGACTGAAGACAAATTACAAATGTTGAGATCCAAAGTTTTTCTGCTTAATATAACATTATCTCGATTGAACTCCTGGTGGAAGCAGAGAGCAAAAACAAAATGGCTGAGAGACGGTGACTCAAACACCAAATTTTTTCATGCCTACAGTTTGGGAAGGAGGAGTTCTAATTGGATTAACCAAATTAAGGGAGGTAATGGCGAATTAACTTCTGATCCTTCAGAAGTGGAAGATATCTTTGTCAGCTTTTTCAAAAACAAATGGCAAGAAAAAGATTGCTGTTTTTCTGGTTGGCCGAAACAATTTAATTTGCTTAATGAATTTGACAAGGGAGTCCTTTTGAAAGAGTTTAAAAAAGAACAGCTTGATGAGGTGGTTAAACATTTAGAAGCAAATATTTCTCCTGGTATAGATGGGATTTCATACTCCTTCATCAAAACCTTTTGGTCTATCATAAGCAATGATGTTTGGAAAGCTATTCTATCGTTCTTTGAACTAGGAACCATGTGTCCTAGTTGGAAGGAGAATTTGATCACATTAATCCCAAAAATAGAAAATCCGATACTCCCTTCTAGTTTCAGACCTATTAGTCTATGTCTTTCAGTTTATAAATTGATAGCCAAGATGTTATTAAACAGAATGCTATTCATTATTCCAAAACTTGTTTCAGAAGAACAAGCTACTTTTATCAAAGGCAGATCTAGCTCTGAACACATTCTATTAGCTCAAGAAGTTTGCAACAAATTTAGATTCTCCAAAGCTAAAAAAGGGCTAATGGCTATCAAAATTGACATGGAACAAGCTTATGATAGTATAAGTTGGTCTACTCTTACTCAAGTCTTGAAGAATTTGGGATTCCCGGATAAGTTTGCTAATTACCTCATCCAATGTGTTTCAAATACTAAATTCTCTATCATTGTTAATGGAAATTATTCGGAATGGATTGAATCTAAAAGGGGATTTAGACAAGGTTGTCCTGTTTCTCCCTTTCTCTTAATTTTTTGCTCTCAACTACTCTCAGACGAGGTTAAGCGAAATGGCAAAGAATTGGGGATTAAGATAGCTCCTAATGTTGAGAATATTTCGCATCTTATTTATGCCGATGACATAATTTTCTTCTTGAAAGCTAAAGGGAGTTGTGTGAAGAAAGCAAAAGAAATTTTAAATCAATACTGTAAATGGACCGGGCAAAAGATCAATATCCAGAAATCTTCCATTCTCTTTGGTAAGTCGGTTAAGAGAAAAAGGAAGAAAAGATTGTCCAAAATCCTAAAATTTAAAGTGGTTCAAGAACTGAAATATCTTGGGATTAATATTATGCTAAGGAGGTCGGCTAGGATGGATTTCTCTCATCTTCTAAACAAAGCTAATGAGTATTTGAATGTTTGGGGCAACAAATACATTTCTTTAACAGGGAAGATTCTTCTAGTCAAATCTATTCTGTCATCCTTTCCAATCTACCACATTACTCATTCCTTAGTTCCTTTGAGTTTACTCAAAGAACTAGATAAATTGTGTAGGAATTGTCTTTGGAATAAACAGGATGGTAGCAAAGGTCTTCATTATATTTCTTGGGAGGTTATATGCAAGCCTCTTGATTTGGGAGGTCAAGGCATTCAATCCTTGATTTCTATAGTTAAACCTTTAAGAGAAAAGTTCGCTTGAAAACTAATTTCAGGAGATTCATCTATTCTCTACAGAATTCTTGCGGCCATGTATGGTACTTTACCTTGGAACATTCAACTAAAAGCTCAAAGTTCTCCTACAATTAAAATTATTGTTAATGGTTCTCAAGCTCTTCAAGATGTATTGAGATGGAGAGTCTATAAGGGGAACAACATCAACATAATTCAAGATGTTTGGATTTATGACAAACCAATTTCAAGATGGCCCACTTTTATAGCAGATTTGGGGCAGCATATCTAGCATTTGGATTTCTTCATACAAGAAGGAAAATGGAATGAAGAAAGATTAAAACTTTTTTTTGGACCTGACTTGGTTGATATTATTATAAATATCAAAATTTATCCTGATTATATCCAATATCAATCGGAGCTTAAATTTAGATTCTCAGATAAAATAATCTCTTCATTAATTTCTGAATGTTCTGGTACAAATAAAGATGAAGATCTTACATGGAAATGGAGGAAAAAGCTGCTAGTGAATCCACGTGTAAATATTTTCTGGTGGAGGCTTAGTTTAAATGCTATTCCTTCTTATTGTTTCCTTAATTCTAGAAATCTTTCAAGATTAATAAATTGTCTGAGAGGGTGTAATACTGAAGAGAACAACTTGCACATAGTGATCAAATGCCAAAAATTGGATCAGATTTTCTATATCTTAAGAAAATGGGGAATAACTATTCCTATTTTTAATTCCATGGAAGATTGCTTTGTAGCTTTGTCCTTAATGGCTTCTAAAGATCCTTTTACTAGTAACATTTACTGTTCAGTGGTTTATTTAAACTGGATCAATAGAAATAAAGTGACTCACGGAAGTATTCAAGACTGCTCATCTTTCATAGCTGCCAAAGCTTTCAGTATGGCTATAGGTTCCTTCAAAAATAATTCGGTTTACTGGGAAACTAACCAGCTTTCACAGCTGTTAAGCCATTGGTTTCCTCCTCCAACCGAATGGGTTAAATTAAATATAGATGCTGCGGTTAAGAGTAACTATGATGCTGGAATAGGCGGAGTACTAAGAGATCATAAAGGTAGATTTCTATGTGCTTTTGGTATCAAACATAAGCATTGGGATTCAGCACAAATGGAAATGAAAGCCATCTTATCAATAAAGGATTTTATGCTCCAAGAGAGATATAATTTCAAAGGAATCATAATAGAAGGAGACAATAAAAACATTATAGATTTATTCAATAAAATCTATAATAAGCAAGCAGGTTTTGAAGAAGAACTCGACAACTTGGACTTCTCTTTTATTTCTGAATTCAATCAGGTTTTCTTCAACTTTGTCCATATAAATAACAATAAATTAGCTGATTATTGTGCTAATTATGCTTGCTCCTTAGATTTTTTTTGGGATAGTCTCAATTGTAATAATGTTCCTCCTAGATTTTCCTTGTTACTCAAGGAGGACTGTGATTGTGGAACAATCACTTAGTTTCTTTTGTATTTCTTTTTAATAAAATCTTGTTATATGCATTTCATCAAAAAAAAAATCAATTGATTTTGAAATAGAAATAACTTTAGCATCGTAAGAGCTAGGTAGACATCATAAAATCTTAGAATTAGAAAGTTCTCTTTCTAGTGGATGCAAGGATGTCAATATCTAAGTAAACCTAATATACAATTCAGATGCATCTTGCTAGGTTGTATTCAAAAAAGTTTGTAGTCATGCAATAAGATATTTACCCTAGAATGTTTAACTTCACTAGTTCCCTAATTTGTAATAGACTGTCTATCCCATATGTCCTTATCAGTAGAGCATGTGAATACTCGCATATAATCCTCAGATTTTGAAGCACATTAAAAATATTTTAAACATTTACCATTCAATTGTGTGAGTTATTTATAATCATAACTTCTTTCACTAAAGGGAATATACATTTTTTAATAATATGTCAAATTCTATTGTCAAAGGATTATAAAAATTTAGACATGCGAGCTTTCCAGAAGTCAAATGGGATGTATTCAAATAGAGGAGGATTGGTTAGGGAATAACCCTCGGCAAGATTCCTATTACAAAAATGTGCCATTAGATCAACACTTGAAGATATTAAAATCTAAATTTCCTGACCTGCTTTGATACCAACTAAAAGTTAGGTATGGATGCTAAGACTTAGTGAACTGCTCCCTAGGCACACTAAGAGGTGGTGAATTGGTAAATTTAAGAACTAAGTTCTTGATTTAAAAACCAAGAAAATATTTTTGGATTTTTTAATATTTAAAAAATAGGTAATAATTATCACTGAGTGCAGAAGTGAACAAATTTTCCTAAACATCTAAGAAGCAATGATTATATTTTAATTAGTAGGATAAAGCATTGAGTATATGTTTTACTAAGTAGCTATAACAGAATTAAAATGCAAAAATGTAAACTGTGAGAATAAAAATTAGAATAAACACCCTTGAATCATAATTGTTCGATAAAACATGTACTTATGTCCACTTCATGGAGTGCTCCTTTCTGAGTATTGCACTATCACTATAATGTCTCTCCTTTTACACCGAAATCAAGGCTGAGAATCCCATAATCAAATCAATTCCACCAAACTTGGTGTGATGGAGAGCCAAAAGCATTGTGATTTCCTGGTGATAGAAACAGACCTTTAATCGATTTTCTCAATTCTAGTTAAGGAAGAGAATGTCAAACTCCTTTTTCACCAATTTGGAGAAGGCAAAGAGCCATAAACTCCTTTCTCACCCTTCAGGTAATGGTAGAGTACCATGTCCTTGAGCTGAAAAGTTTTATCCTAGAGCCAACCAAGAAACATAAACAGACATTTAGAGGAACAAGGAATGACACTTACATGGAGCAATCATGTGAACCCCTCACACTAGTTCTCCATTCATACCAGCTCTCACTCTACTTTCTAAAGCTCTCCTAAATCTTCTTCTCAAATATCCCTGTTAAGAAAACATAGCATCCAAAGTCCTGAATTATGTTATTTGAGAGAGATTAAACAAGGCCTTACAAAAAGCCCTAAATTCATTTCTAGTTACTTTGATAGTATAGTACAATCATAGATCGTCATATATATTTAGTGCAAAGTACTTTGTTAAGACTATAAGAAGGACAAGATGCTTTACAAATAGTTTAAAG